TTACCAAAATATCGTGCCAACTGCCTTCAACGGAAACTGTACACTCACCTTGGGCCCTAGTCCTTTCCCTATGTGGGAAGAATTGGTCCGCAATCGGAGTAGTGCCAGTTTCTTTGGTCAAAGCGGCATACTAACAAGGTCACAGGGTAGTGATGCTCACATGCTCGCTCCATACTTCGTCCTACCGCCAGCCATGTGCCTAGCTATAGCAACGCGCTATTTGTCTACGCTCCCTCACCTCTTACTGTTATCTACCGCTGAGTACGTGTTTTGCTGCGGGACCTCTGTATAGATGGAAGCGTCGCGCCTTGAGGTTAGCGTGGGCGGAGTATTGAGACGTCAGCCGGGTACTACCCTACAGCACCTTTACCGTGCTCCTCCGAGCTGACAAAATGGCCTTTCCGCTGCACGTGACAAGTATTGTTCTCGAGGGTGAGTAAACCTTCCATCTTTAAGTGAGGTTCAATTTAAAAAAATCGAAGGTATAGAACTAAAAAAGAGTGTAACGTTCTTATTGAGTATTTGAAAGACCCAAGTGGCTGTTGCATACCCCAGTGCTGACTCATCTCTTATACATGGCTCTGTTTTCTCTGAACCCGCGGGCCGCGTTCGCGACTATGTTCACGGGGACGCCCCATTTTGCCCCTAGATATGGACTGTGGCCGACTCGATAGAAAGTACTTGACAGACAGAGTGACAAAATGTGAAAATGTGCTCAAGCGAAGAGGTAAGAGCACTCATAGTAATAGAAATACGCAGAGATAATCGAAGTGCTCAAATTGGCATTCGCATATTATTCAAAATTCAGGGAAAACTATACTACTCGAAATGAAAACTAACTAAAACTTTTGAAAGCTACTACTAAAAATAGAAATGATTGAGTGATCTCATTTTCTTTCTTCTTGGCTAAAGTTTCTTTGCTTGTAACATTGGAATGTTCAAGTAGACCACTATGAAAAACATGAAAAACTTTTTGAACAGAAAAAATATCAAAATATATACAAGGGTCAACTGCACATTTCCAGCTCATTTCTATTCATTTTGATGCTTTCAAACGCAGCCACAATAAGTATAATTATGTTCGCTGCGGCCGCTGCGGCGTTCTAGTGGGGCTGAGTTTGGCGCAGGTCTAGCTTGTTCTCCACCCATTGTGCAAGCAGGCGAAACAATACCTGAAAAACTGACGGAAACAGGCTGGTGCCGCGTCAAACCCAGCCCCCCCCCCCTGGAACGTCTCGGGAGGCTGTAAGCTTCGAAATGTTGAAATTGAAAACTCTTCAAGGAATTGGAACGACCGTGAATTGAAGACAGCAATTATAACTGTTTCAGGATCCTGACGATAAACTGGTTGAGAGAAAGTCGGAAATCGGAACGCGAATAATCCCGAGATTCAGCCAAATTTTCTCGTTCTCTTTGATGCGTAATTGGCTAATGTCGAGCCTAAATGAGGAGTAACGATGACTCCCACGACTACATCAATCGCCGCTTCATCATCAGTTATTTAAAGAAATACAAGTGTTCCAGCTTCAAGCCCTCCCCTGTTTGCAGAACTGATAACTTAAAACGTTACTCTGTACTCAAAAGTTTAATACTCGAAAGCATTGGAATGATGCGACACTCAAAAGAGTTACCCAGAAGGCACTGCGTCCAACAAGGATCCTATGCATGAGAAAATCAGGAAAATATTAATTTCAGAAGTTGAAAATGAGGAGTAAAGCCTTAAAAAAGACGAAAATTGTGAATTGCAACTTTACATATCTCAGAGCTTCAATTTTTTCCAGGCACAATTGAAATGATCGCATTCAGTCCGGGCTGTGTCAGGAGGCATGGATGCGTACCATCGCAGTTCAAATGACTTTCTTCCACTGATTGTTCCTTCCGAAATCGATTGCTAACCAATCAGTATTGGTAGTAATTGCAGGCAGGGACGGACTCATTCCATCCCATCTGACACCGCCCCGAATTATTTCGGCGATATCAACTATACGTAATGTTTACGGAACACGGCTAACGAAACACAGACTTCCCATCACAATGTAGTTTTTTTAAGGAGCCTACTCGGATCTTTGCTGTGTTCACAGGACCTATAGCGAAAATTCGTGCTAACCAATAAACGTGCTATCATTTTTGAATGCTTTCACAGAGTTCTAGCTCCGGACGTCAGATAATTAATTCCTTTGAATTTTTCAAGACTGATAGATTTTAATTACCCCGTGATGCTGATATCCGATGCCTTGCGGCAACATCATATCCGGTTGCGTGGTGACAATATACTGGGGATGAGCAACATTTGGCGTCTCATTGTGGATACTGTAATCCATTGGTACCGAAACTGGTAACGATGTGGACGTCAGATGATGCACGGATGGCTGAAATGATTTTATTACAGTAGAGTCAATAAGATTGGCTTAGAATATTTAGATTATGCGATTTTAATAAACTACATATATATCACTGAGATGTGGTAGGCGTGGCTGCGTACTTCAACTAAACGTGGCGGTGGTGGTGTTTTTGAGAGATATTTTCATTTCGACACAATTGTGGTCGTGTCTCTGTTCAACACAGAACACGAGTATGGCAGTTGTCTCAACTGAAAATATCCCACGAGTAACCTATTCTACGCCATGTTCAAATGCCACGCCTACTCTGTCCCAGAGATAAGAAGTGTAGGCGCGCTGTGCTGCATCTTGCCCACAAGCCTAATTCGTTAGCTAAATCTTACCAACTGTTGGGGATTGATCGGCCTGAAGTTCAGCATGTTGAGCTGCATTGGCAGGTGCACGTTGATCGGCGCTGCTGTCGCTCCGCCCAACGATGACTGAAATCAATAAATTGGATCAATATTCTAGACAATATGAGGTGCTTTGACGGTCTCACTTCATTTTTAATATCTCCTAATAATTGCGAATTCAACATGTTGTCGTCGATGCTGTTTAGCATCGGATTTGGATGACGCGATGTCAGTGAGGGATCCATTTCACTGCAATAAAATGGACTATCAGGTTCATCTGAATGGCTCAAGAGGAACTGTTAAAGAGGGCCAAAATTACTAGTTAGTATACCTGTTATAAATGTGCATCAAGAGATTGTTGTTACTATTTACAAGTGTGTCTAATGAGCTCGTGTCAAGATCCAGTTGATGATCTGACGGCGGTATCAGAGCACTCTGAAATAGATTTCTGAGGTATGAACTAAGGGTAGAAAAGCACTACTGAAAACAAACCGCTTGAAGTGGCTGAGTGATGGGATTCAGATGGAGCGTGCCAACGGCGTGATTTGGTGACGACTGCAACACAACAGATTAGTTGTTTATTTATTTCTTTACTTATTATAATTATTTACACACACAGAGTGAGCCTTAAAATGTAGGAAGGGTACAGAGTTGGGACCTCCTCTCGAAGGTCACTCATCTGGTACGACAGCATTCCCCCACCCCCTTTCCCCCACTACTCACGATCTTCCCAGGTTCTTCCAACGAGAGGGGAGGGAGGAGGAGTACGTCACCAGACAAGCACTGACTTCAACTGCCTTAAAGGCTATTCCCGCGATCGAGTGTTATGGGTAGTAGGTGCTCAATCATGGACTAGTAACTCCTTAAGTAACTCCCCAGTAGAGAAGGATGCGAAAAAATACCTTGAGGACACCCTGAATAGAGACCTCTTGAGCAGTAGACGCCTAAGACGAGTTTGCCAGACTTCGGCAAGTCCAATAAGCAGGATTCGACGTGCAACAATTCCCGGCAACAGCATAGGAAATCGCCCTACGACGCTCCAGGCAACGCTATGTACACACGCAATTCCGCTTGTAAGCCGTTGTCTTGCAGAGTGAAAGTAATCGTGGTTGCAATGGTTGCAATAATCACGCGTCTCTAGCTTCTCTCGCCGTTTCGAGTGACGAAAGTGGTATGTTCTCTGCGAATGCGGACAACGATGCCAAATGTACGGAAGCATTTCGCGGACCTGTTGATCGCGAGAACTGTCTGTAAGCGGTAGTTGTATAGTAGTTCTACAGCGACGCGAACCAAGGCGAATGGGGAATAAAGGAGTATATGGCAGATGAGAGGTAGGGAAAAGACCAAGAACGACTCTTGTCCCTCTCCCTGATGAGCTGAAATGCTGAACCCTGGCCCCAAACACGCCAGAGAAACGAGGGCGGTCGTCATTAAGAGGGTCACAAAAAAATTACATGGCAAAAGAGGGCGCGAGAGCAAGGCTATGGAGACGGAGAAAATATTTCTTAGACACGAAACCCGCATTGTCAGGTTAAGCGTGGTTCTATGGCCAAGAATGTTCAACCAATAACATCGAAAGAATGCTGAGTTGTGGGCAAAGGACTCGGCCTAGCCAGGACTGGAGCCTGAACCTCGTGCTATCGGAGCTGGTGTGCTTCAAGTATTTTGAACAGCTCACAGTTTGAACGAAGTGACCCTTTGAATATGGACCTGAACAGGTCCTTGTTTTGGCTGTTCAACCGAACGACTTGGGCGCAGGAATGGCTTGCCATCGAAGATGTCCAGCCGTACGTAGTGGGCATTGCCCGTAGTGGACGTTTTCCCACTGAGCGTGCGGGTTTGCCACTTAAAAGTGGTTTTGAGTGACTCTTCGTTATTTCCTGAACTCCAACCGTGATTCAGTCTGAGGAAGGCAAGCTATCAGTGGAGAGTAGGGAGGATTGGCAGACTTGTCGTTGAGCAGGATACCTCAAAGAAAGGAGAAGAAGGGAGAGAGACAGTCGTCGCGTCTAATGTTCCGAAGTAGACAAAAGTGGATTGGGTGGCGAGAAGAAACAATCACTGAAGTAAAGCAGTAGTACAGTAAAGGAAGAACTCTTAGCGCCACCAAGCGTGGGACTGTGCACATGCACAAGGAACTTTCACATCGGGAAAGACACAGAGCAAGCCTTGCTTACGCCTTGCACTAGTAACATATCCCATACCTGCACTCTAACCAGGTCAAAGTCATGGAATGGTAGGCTATCAGTGTAGGGCGAAGAGCAGTGGGAAGCCTCTCCCGGAGCAGGATAGTTCACAGAAGGAGGGAGGAAGGGAAACGGGGACAGTCGTGTGTCCAATGCTCCGAAGAAGGCAATGGTGGATTGGGCGGCGAGAACAAGATCATTGAAGTAAAGCAGTGGTACTGCATAGGAAGTACGCTTTGCGCTGTCAAGGATGGACCACACACCCAGAAGAAGTGTTGCACATCCCATCAGGGAAGAAACGGACTCCTACAGTAAGGCCTTGCACTAGTAACATATCCCATACCCTATTCGTCTCCTTTCCTATTCCCTGGATCCTAATCAGGCCAAAACCATGAAATGGCAGGCTATCAGTGATGGGTGAAGAGTAGTGGGAAATCTTTCCCGGAGCAAGGTAACTCAAAGAAGGAGGGAATGAGGAAGAGAGAGACAGTCGCCGTGTCTAATGTTTTGAGTTAGGCAGTGGTGGACTGGGTGGCGAGAAGAAGCAACAGTCAAGACCATTGAAGTAAACCAGTGGTACCGCAAAGAAAGAACGCTCTGCTCTACCAGGGGTGGGTCACGTACTCAAAAGACAGGTTCTACGTCCCAGCAGCAATGAAACGGACTCCCACAGTCACGCCATGCACTAGTAACATATCCCGTACCTTATTCGTCTTCTTCTTAGGCGTCGTTGTCGTGATCAACGGTTGACTATGAATAGACGATGCGGACGATGTAGCTGGGTTACCTTGTTCCTCCTGTTCCAGGAGCTAAATGTGTGAGAGAAGGTTCTTACATGATAGCCGTGGTGCCCCATCCCACTCATGTGCAACGCTCCTAAAAACCAACCAGCTTCCGTTTAGCAGCCGTTGCGTACGTCAACTGACGCAGATCGTTGTCGATATGTGGAGTGGATTCGTTCTTTCTCATATGCATCTCTTTATGGCACTGAAATACTAGTAATCTCCTACTGTACCTATACAAATAAGCTCCTTACTACGAACCTTCAAGCTGTTTTTCCACTTGAACGTCATTTGACATACAGTGCATACGAACGGTTTCGCGTCCGAATGAATTCGTTTGTGGTTCCATAACGTTGATCGGCGATTGAATCGTGCTTTGCAGACCTGTAACCGGTAAGGGTAAGGGGGCGTAGTTCAACGACGGGGGGAGGGTGGCATTTTGCGCTTCCGCTGCTTCACTAGTTCCGGTTTACTTGTCTCACTCTTGAATCTGCGAACTCTTGTGAAGCTGGAGCGAGCTCTTCAAGCCAAAAACCTGTCAACTCGAGAAGAGGCTGTCTAGATGGGTCGACACGTCGATGGGAAGTAGCAAAAGTGCAAAATGCCCCCCCCCCACCCCGTCGCCAAAGTGCCCCGAAAAAGGTTATGACATTGAACAAGTTCAGGTCCAAGGGCTAGATCCAAAGAGCTCAATCAGTGTTCAACAAGGAACAACTCTTAAGCAAGACCTGTTACGAGTCGTTGCCTCATTCCCGTAGAGACAGACAGCTTTTCGGAAACGGGTCCGAAAGCAGCCAGTCGGCGCCCTTAAGGTTTCAAGGCGCCTTGATAACTCATGCCTTCGACCCCCGTCAAATCATGTGATGGTTACACGAAGAAACATGAGACAAGGGATGGATATCCTAGGGATGAATCATGAGGCTCTTTGTCACAATAGTGACATCTCATCGCACGAATCGCAAGCAATTCAAGGAATCCCACATTTCTACTCCACTTCGTTTCTCCCACGCATAAAATGACTGTCACCAGTGCCGCTGGGTTTAATTTAGACTTACATCACATTCAAATGGCTTCATTCCGGTATGGCTATTCTGATGTTCTTCGAGCTCCATCTTGCTGCCAAATCGTGACGTGCACAAGTTGCACGGATACGGTCGCTTACGATCTGCTGCCAGGGTTCTCCCTGAAGCTGGAGATTATCACTAGTAGAAACAATTCTGCAAAAAAATTATTAAATCTGAGAACTAGAAAATTTACCATTGGAGTTAATCTTCACATGATTATTATTGAGCGGATCATGGTTATTGTTAACCTGTGGGCAGAAATTTGACTGAATATTGAAATTGGACACGCTGAAGAGCATATCCGTCGAGGGGCACACTAAATAAAGAAGGTTTAGCGCTGGTTCACATCATCAAGGGCTCTTGTCGTTGATGTGACGACGCCTTGTCTTGCCCTGTTTATCAAAGTGTTTTGTTCTGATAGTCTGCAAAGCCGATGATTCTCGCTTGCCTTGACCAGCTCGACGAAAATCGCGCGCGCGACGACGACGACAACGACCACGAAATTTTGGAGCATCAATCAAAATGAATGCGGAACTCTTTTAACATAGACTGAGCATGAACAGATAGAACGAGAGAGAGTCTCTTATGCAGCACAACTATAGCTTTTTCACGGGATCCGTGCCAAAGAACCCTCATCGGCTGCGCGTCTGTCGGTCTGTGATCAATTTCAGGCTGACCATATGACGCTGGGGGTATATCTGCGGCACGAACGAAACTCACATGTTGCCTTCGACTTTGGAGGCGTCGATGGCTCCTCGGCTTTCACTATATCGTACGGATTGTGATGCATGAGATGTGCTTGAATCTCCATGATTCCTATATAGTATTGTAATCGACGCCACTCACCACTATCTCAGCACATCCGCTAGATCTGAAGAAATGTTAGAGAAAATATATGAGTGTAATTGAAAAATCACACAATATATGCGTAGGAACCATAATTAATCTTTATTGTCAATAAGAGACATTCTGAAGGCGACAGGAGAGATTTGAAGTGGTGAGCATAGCAAGGGCTATAGTGGTAACGATCTTAACTAATCGCAATACAAGTATGCATATGCTGTTAGTATCGATCGAGTAAATGAACAATTAGCAATGAACTGAGTCGCATTGGGTTATCATTGGCAGAACTTGTTTGGGCAAAAATTGGAGTGAGCGCCCGAGAGTTGATATAGACGCCGAGCCACGCCCACTGCCCGTGCGCTACGAGATACGGTAGCGCGAAATAGACGGACGGACGGCTGGGGGTATGTGGATGGATGGCAACTATTGTGAAGTAGATGATATAGATGAAGCGAGAAGCCGTTTTACAAACTCTCTCTCTCACTAGACAACTTCTTCCGTCGTCAACTTGGGAAAAAACCATACAACTGTCTACAAGATCGTCAAACGCTTCAAATCATTGCGGACGAGTTTTCCTGCACAGTAAGTACAGACAGGCGTGCAATAGAAAAGCCGACCCGTCTGAAAAGAATTCCGTTCCAATCATTAATATGATCAGTACACTAGACGTGCTGATCAGCCGAACATTGCATGTTCAGGTGAAGTGTAAACTCAACGGAGCCCGCGGAGACCACCATGGGGGGAACCCCCTATCCCCCCTTTCCAGCCCCGTACTGTAACAATAGTGTAATGCAAATGTTTGTATGAAGGTGTAACACACGCGAATCATTTCAGTGGTCGAATCTCTCCTCCTCGTCCATTGCTCCGGTCTGTGTGTATGTTGTATGTGTTCCCCGACATCGACCTCAGCTCGTCCAGCTTATTTTATCACCGTTTCAAATGTTCTCTTTTTTTTGAATTTCGCGCATTATTTAAGGATAGAATAAGGTTACCAATAATCGTTAGAAAAGAAAACAACCTATCTATTAGTGTAATTTCGTAGAGTTTTGGTTTAAACGAAGAAACAAGGCAAAAGCGCTTTCGTTGCCGATGTTGCGCGGTAAAAGCAACGAATATGTCATCGGCAGAAAGCGAAAGCCGTCGTGCACTCTCTTTTTCGCTAACGAAACCCGCTTGACGACGGGTCGAACTTGATCCTAGATTGGAAGAGCGCGTCAAAAGTTCAGGTTTAGCTGTGTGTGTCGTTGAGCGGAGCGCTAGGCGCTGATTACGCAACGACGATCGCCGGTGCCCTTGGCAACAACTTTGGGGCCGACTTTCAAATGGAACGTTCAAGATTTGCGCAAGGAGAAGGGGTTTAGAGGTGGTACCCTCCTCAGCGAAACTTTTGAATAGAGCGTTTCAGATTGGGGCAAAAGGGGTTTAGATGTGGCATCTTCCTTACTCATGCGGCCTAGTAAATGAAGATTACACTACTAAAATCCGATGATATTTCGCGTTGTAGTTCGGCGATCGGCGACGGGGGGGGGGGGGGGGGGGGGGCATTTTTGCACTTTTGCTACTCCCCATGTTCGTGTCGACTTATCTGGACAGCCTTTTCGTGAGTTGACAGTGGTTCGACGAGGTTGCTCTAACTTCGCCAGGAGTTCACAGGTTTCACCAGAGTGAGACTTGTGAACCGGAACTAATAAAGCAGCGAAAGTGCAAAATGCCCCCCCCATAAGCGAACTGCGCCGGGAAGGGGTTAAGAGGTGGTAGGTTCGTCACTCGTGAGGCACCTTCAAATAGAACGCTTCAGATTGGGGCAAAGGGAAGGGTTGTAGAGGTGGCATCTTCCTTACCCATACGGCCCAGGAAATGAACATCCACAGTAGAAAGACTCGATAGCACTGTCTTCTTACTATTTGTATTTCGCTTTTCTGTGGAGCAGTAGAACCTCTAAAGAGCAGTACAAGACGCGGTACAGCACAGAAAAGTGTGGAGCGTACAAGAACGACGAAAATGTCTGTCCCAAGCAGAAATCTGTCAATCATACCCCCCGTGCTGCTGTTTCTGCCCTTCATGATACAAACCTGAAGCGGTCGTTGCTGCTTGAGAAGGTTACATGCGTGTGTTGCCTGCGGGCGCATTGCGTGACAAACCAGAACAGGTTACGTGATTTCACTAATTTCCCCTGCTCGAAACATCGACTTCATTCGTACAGGGCAAGGCATGTTCCTGATCGTCATGAAAACCTCCTTGATGAACGGCCACGCCTGTCACCACCACCTACTCCCCCCACACCCCGTCAACCCCCCCCCCCCCTTTCACCCCATGTATGCACGCCGGGTTGCACATCTCCTGCACGTTTTCACATCACATTCATGAGAATATCAGAACGGGAACACTGCGTGAAAGTGGAAACGATGAAGTATTGGTGGCTAGATCATCTGGGTAAAACGACGAAACTTCTTTGCAGTACCCATAAAGGATAAGGGCATTCGCGCCAGATGTGAATAATCGGGATCCGCGGACATATGACTGCCGCCTAGTCCTCCACACCCCCGAAAAGACGCCGTAAACGTTAGCTATGCGATGATACTTCGCAGTATACGATCATCCTTAAAAATACCACATAAAATTCGACGTTATCGATTTACTGATATGATCGTGAAAGATACGCGCATTACGTATAGCACGACCGATACTAATCACCATAGTAATCGAGGTGAATGACATGAAAAGGATGATCGGATGATTGTATGAAGAAAATGCACAAAAAGAAATATGAGAATAGGATTAACTGGAAAGTTCATCAGAGGATAGCTTATAAAGCGTAAAGGGTGCCGAGAAATCCGATACAGTACTTGGGGGAAATGGCCGCCGCCACGACTAGGACCAACTGTCCCCTCTATTGCTGGCGGCCCGCCCACCATCCAAATGCTTCGAACCGACAGGCCTCTTGAAGTCGAAATCCAATGATAAATTGAATAAATTTCGTATGAAAATCCACAACTGCAAATGAAGAAATTGATAGGTGAAATGAAAAGGGTAAAAAAAATCCCAAATGATAGCAATAAGTGAGTGATCAGAATATTTTTCTTCAGGATCCAATAGGGACCATAACCTTTCTAGGGAGAGGGGGGACCTGTTGTGCACTGTTTCGTGAGTTCTATTGAGAAGCATGTGTGTATGAGAGAGAGAGCGAAAGTGTCGAGGCGAGGAAGAGAATCACAAGTCAGGTCGTTATTCGCCATCGCGTAGGCGTGCACTCGCCAAGAAATCGAAAGCAGACGGCAAAAACGTAGACGCATCACAGTTGCCAATATAATTTATCTCGTCATACCTTATCAATTCAATATAAAAATAAACTCAACTAATCAGTACTTCCCCAGTAGCCCCTGTGCAGATTATACCTGAAGGACATGAAAGCGTTCGACAGTTCTGCGAGTGACTAGAGTGTACTAGTGCGAACGGGGAATTGGTCCGAATTAGAATGAAGCATACTGTAGAATGCGATGCCTATGGCTCGGGGGCGGTTTATGGTAGTCTCGGCAGTGGCGGCGGGCTGGACACACACGAGCGAACAGGCGCGCGGCATCATCAATCAGGCAAAGAGGAAAGAGTAGAGAGGTATGGCACAAGAGGAACGACAACCAAGTGAGAGAGGGATGAAGAGCAAGAAATTGAGAAGAAAAGCAAGAAAAATGTGCACTGCTTGTATGTTCCTGAAAAGAAGCGCTTTCTGCTGCAAGCGGCAGACTGAGGGCAACAAATTGACGTAATCTTGTTCAGCGGAAGTTCAGATTGCCATGACAGTTATCATGGCTATAAGACCCCCATACGAAGAAGAGATCATCTGAATAAGACTGAAAATGAAAATCTATGAAATCACAAAATTGGTTGGTATCTGATAGAAGATCTTTCCCGCCTCCCCCCCTTTAATGACTTATATCGGTCATTCAATGCAGCTCTAGCACTCAATAACAGCCGTCAGTTGCTGGCACAACGGCGCCCGCTGAACAGCGAGGCGACCACCTCCCAGCTTCATATTTCCTGAATAACATACTTTTAAAACTCAGCCCAGAAAGGCGTGAAATGACTGTGATTCCCTCGCACGACTTTCATTCAGTCGGCACGCCTCTGTAGTACTCCGTGGCGGCAACGCGGCGATTTCGCGGACTATCGGGGAAATAGATGAGTTGGACAGGTGTCGTCGTGAATGAATTCAGAAGCTGTGCCGACGCAATTAAAGGACTGACACAAACACAGTGCGCTACGATCGCGAAACGATACGACGATTGTGATTGTGTCGCGTAGTGCTTTGCAATGGGAATAAATGGACGAGATGCCGATGGAACAGTTGCCGTGTCGGCTGATTCACGACCAACGACGTGCCGTCACAGAACTGCCGGCATCGACCTGAGTGCCGCCGGCAGCCTACTCGGCTGTCATAAGCCTCAGCCAACTCGGCACCCCGAATTTCAATTGACGACAACAGACAGCTAAGCTGGAAATCAGATGGCAAAACTGGTCGATAATTCAAAAGTTGAATGGCACTCAAACAATACTCATAACAAATAGATACAGGTAAAATACAATCGTAATCGATAGTGGTAGCACACGTGGGCGGTATCGAATCAACACACACACACTTCGCCTGGGAATGGAAAGTCGGCTGGAACCGGAAGACGGCGAAAACGAAAAGATGGTATCGTGTTTGGAAAAGGCGGAAAGCTTAGAGGTCGTCGGGCGGCAGCAGCAGACGGCAACAGTCAGCAGTCCGGGCGTCGTCTAAAACTGGCTTCAATCAGGGGCAGAGCCAAGCCCTCATCTGGAGTGTCGACACTTTCGCCTTCAAAGCACCATGAAACAGACACTCTCCTGTGGTCATAAAAATGCCTCGAGGGATGAGTTCGGGGAATGTCGCGGGCGAGAACGAATAATCGGGCAGGGGGGGGGAAACGTCCCTGGGTATCTATGAATTTG